CCCGGTGTGGGAGTCCTCTGTGGGGAGGTGCACTGAGAGATGGAGCCTAGTGTGGGAGTCCCCCGTGGGGAGGTGCACTGAGAGATGGAGCCTAGTGTGGGAGTCCCCTGTGGGGAGGTACAGTGAGAGAGATGGAGCCCAGTGTGGGAGTCCCCTGTGGGGAGGTACACTGAGAGTCATGGAGTCCAGTGTGGGAGTCCCCCCTGGGGAGGTGCATTGAGAAAGATGGGCCTGGTGTGGGAGTCCCCCGTGGGGAAGTACACTGAGAGATGGAGCCCAGTGTGGGAGTCCCCTGTGGGGAGGTGCACTGAGAGAGATGGAGCCCAGTGTGGGATTACCCCGTGGGGAGGTGCACTGAGAGAGATGGAGCCTGGTGTGGGAATCCCCCGTGGGGGGGTGCACTGAGAGATGGAGCCCGGTGTGGGAGTCCCCCTGGGGAGCTACATTGAGAAAGATGGGCCTGGTGTGGGAGTCCCATGGCAGACACACTGAGAGAGAGATGGTGACCCCTGTGCATGGACTGGAGGCTGGAAGGGCAGGAGCTCTAGCTGTTAGATTCTACCCAGCCGTCTTAGAACAGGATCACACAAGTTCAATTTGACCAGACGGCAGGACAGGAAGCAGAGGACTGATTGCTCTAGGTTCTGAGTACACAATTATTATTTCACAGTATTTTCCAAATAAAGTATACTTTTATTTTGAAAGATGCTAATTTTGATACTTGCAGAGTGAGAGCAACCTTGCCATGTGAAATGCTAATTTCTGTCATGAGTTAACTCCCCATTCCATGTTAGACTTCTCCAGGTTGGAGATGAGAGTCACAGACCTTGAAGGGGGCCCATGGTTTCCCTTTGCTGGTTGAAAGCTGATGTGAAGTGAGATTATTGTATAACCACTTCATTTAAAAAAACCTGTATGCCAGGCTTGCTTTACCCTAAAAATAATCTTATGTCAGTTCTAGCACCACATGATACTGTTATCAGAGACAGCTATTACTTTTTCTAAGTAGTAGCTTAAAAATATCAATGAGCTGTTTTTTTTTAATGAAGACTTTAAAAAATGTTTAAATGGGAGGCTATTTATGAAATATTGAAGATTCAGTGTCCTTTGCTGATAGAGGTCATTGAAGATTGTTGGCCATACTTTTGCTAGTCTATTTCAATTCAGATTAATTTGAAATGTTCCTGTTTTTGATGAATTCAAGTGTCTGTGATCTTTTATGTAACGTAATTTGTGCCAAAACCTTTAGTTTTCCCATTAAACTAATGTAGCTTTAGTCAGAATACATTGCCTCATAGCTGATGCCTTGTTTTAATGTCATTGATATTTCGCCTCTCTCCCTCCTCATTCCTGAGGGTTTTTCTTGGCTTTGGGGAAAGAAAGGCAGTTAGAACATCAGGGCAGTTCCCAGTGGGCTTTGGTCCCGTCTGCCATCTTCTGGCCATGGTGTGTAGGAGGTTTGAGTCAGCCACGGAGTGGAAAGTTGTGGGCAATGGCAACAGGCAGACAAGATCAGTGACTCCTTGAGTCCTAGGGGAGGATAGTGAGAATACTTATTTTAAAGTGTCTTTTTGTTTTTATCAAAACCGTGGTTTTTAGTTATTAAAAATGACATATGTGTTTTCTTGTAGCTGCTTTATTCTGTTCAGAGGCCTCTTCACGAGTTCATTACCGCTGTTCAGTCTTGGCACGCGGACACCCCTGTGCACCGGGGTGTACTTTCTACTCTGATCGCTGGGCCTGTGGTTGAGATAAGCCACCAGCTGCGGAAGGTGAAGTGCTTTAATCGGGAAACTGCTGTGCCTCTCTTTGACTACACAAGATACTGTTTCTACTAGTAGCACATTCTTACATTTCTCAAAGTATTTTCTAAGAATTTTCAAATTGGAGTGAGTGACACACTTTCCTAGCAGCTATGCCTCTGAGTTTGATAGCAAGTTTGTATTTTAGACTCATATGACTGTTGTGAAACATAGAGCAAGGATGTGATCACTCTTGATTAAAACAGAAATATAGTCCTTCCATTTGAATATGTTTTTATGCCACATTCAGGAGACTTAAATGAGTTGATAAGTTTTTTAAGGTTATTTTCCCTCCTAAAAGGTTAGCAGTAGTTGTAAGCCGTGGTGAGCAGAATTGCTTTTGTGGAATAGTTGACATATCTTTGCATGTTATGTTATTAGCCTCCCCCACCTTTTTTCATTTTTAAGCATAGGATATTCAACATTCTAATATCAGTTCAAATGGACAATTTATTCATTATTAATGACTTATTTTCCTACCAGTAGCTGCAGATGAATTGAAGATTATTATTAATGCAGAAGTTATTAGCCTATTTGGTTAAAGAGTGCTATAATCAGGATGATAATTTGCCAAAACAAAAAGTGGTGTTTTCCCTCATGGAATATTCAGGGTGTTCTTTTCCTTTTAACCTCTTAAGAAAGTAGTAAAAATCATGTTGGGCTTTCTCAATATGAAAAGATAAAATTTGATAGGAAGGTTGTTGAATTATAGGCATTTTTAATATTTATATAAATCATAAATTTTGTAATAGAAAATCATGACTAATAAAAAGATGTTAACTAAATTCTACTTAGATGTTAACTAAATTCTAGTTAATATCTTTTAACTAGATAAAATAACAACTAGGATTTGTTTGTTCTCGTGAGCTATATAGCTAAAACTATAAAGTTATAAAGTGTTTGACCTGTGGGTCACACCTGACTCACCATCTGTTATCAGTAACGTTATTGGAACATAGCCGTGCCTATTTGCTACGCTTTTTGTGACTACTTTTGTGCAGAGTTGAGTAATTATGATAGAGACCATTGCAACTCTGCCCACAAATCTGAAAATATTTACTATATTATTTAAATATTTACTATATTGTTACTTAACAGAAAAAGTTTGCTGACTGCTTTTCTGTTTCCTTACTAATTTTGTTTACTTACTCTATATGTGATTGTGGATTTGTCTCTTTTTTCATTAGTTTTGTCAGTTTTCTTTTCATGTATTTTCTTGTATTTGGGGGCTTTTTTCTTTTTGATGAATTTACTCCTATATCTCTAGCTCCCATAGTACGTTCCTCATAAAGACTACTTTGATATTTTCATAGCCAAACCAGCTTTCTTGTGCTTCATGTTTGCATAGCATATCTTTTAAAAAACCCACCGCCACATGGGTAGAGTTTTAAAATCTAGTCTGACAACCTCTGACTTTTATTTGGGGTGTTTATAGTCCATTCTGTCATTTTTTTTAGTCCATTTGACTTTAATGAACTTATTGATTTAAGTTAATGTTAAGTTAATGTTTCTTTTCTCTCAGTCTATCTGTTCTGTTAGGCTTTCTGTTTTTTTTTTTCTTTCCTATCACTTTTTTGATGAATCAAGTGTTTTTAGGATGCCATTTTATTATTTCTGTTGACTTTATATTACTTTTTTTTTTTTTTTTTTTTGAGACGGAGTTTTCGCTCTTGTTACCCAGGCTGGAGTGCAATGGCGCGATCTCGGCTCACCGCAACCTCCGTCTCCTGGGTTCAGGCAATTCTCCTGCCTCAGCCTCCTGAGTAGCTGGGATTACAGGCACGCGCCACCATGCCCAGCCAATTTTTTTTGTATTTTTAGTAGAGACGGGGTTTCACCATATTGACCAGGATGGTCTCGATCTCTTGACCTCGTGATCCACCCGCCTTGGCCTCCCAAAGTGCTGGGATTACAGGCTTGAGCCACCGCGCCCGGCCTATATTACTTTTTTGTGTAATTTTTTTTGGTGGCTTCTCTAGAGATCTCTGCATGCATGTTTAACTTGTCTCAGTCTGTCTTCAGAAATTATGCTTGTCCATTGAATGGCAGGAATCTCCAGTTGTGTTCTCCTATCCCTTATGCTGTTGTCATTTTACTTCTACATGGCAAAAATCTCCAGATGTATTTTTATTTTAATCTGTCAATACTCTTTTCTCACTGTTTAAGAAATGCATTTACAACAATCACTTTGAGATGTAAAGTATTTTCATGAGAAACTGCTATTTCATATATAGTGATGATTGACTTAAATATTCAAATTTGTATTATAATACTAGCAGAGGAAGTATAGGAAGACTTATTGGAAGTGCTGTCTAGGCCAGACATGGTGGCTCACACATAATCCCAACACTTTGGGAGGCCTAGGCAGGAGAATCGGCTGAGGCCAGGAGTTCAAGGCCAACCTGGGCAACATGATGAAACCCTGCCTCTGTTAAAAAAAATATTTAAAAATTAGCTGGGTATGGTAGTACATGCCTGTAGTTTCAGCTACCCAGGACACTGAGGCAGGAGTTCAAGGCTGCAGTGAGCTACGATTTGTGATTGCACCACTGCACTCCAGCCTGGGCAACAGAGTGAGATTATGTTTCTTTTAAAAAAAAAAAAAAAAAAAAAAAAAAAAAAGAATTGTTGTCTAGTCATGCCTAAATGAAATCCCCTAGGATAGTCAAGAATTGAGCCAAGGCCGGGCGCGGTGGCTCAAGCCTGTAATCCCAGCACTTTGGGAGGCTGAGGCGGGTGGATCACGAGGTAAAGAGATTGAGACCATCCTGGTCAACATGGTGAAACCCTGTCTCTACTAAAAATACAAAAAATTAGCTGGGCATGGTGGCGCATGCCTGTAATCCCAGCTACTCAGG